TGACCAGAGGTGGTTAAGTTTTCTCACATGTCTACACGGGGTGACTACGGTAAACAATATAGTTGTTGTCTCCCAATGAGATTACTCGTATGCATGTAATGTTGAGGTACGTACAGGTAATCACCCTAAAAAATTTTCCATACTATGCATAGCGTTCCGATACCTCAGTAAGGAATCGTTCAAGACTGGTTTGCGTGCAGCCAGCAGCAACAGCCTGGTTGATCAGGCTCTGATCCACCAGGAGGCCTGGTCACAGACCGGGCCGTGGGGGCGTTGACCCCCGGAACTTTCTCCAGGTAAACTCCAGGTAATTTACGTTAGGCCCATACTGGAGTACGCAGCACCAGTTTGGAATCCACACCTGGTCAAGCAGGTCAAGAAATTAGAGAAAGTGCAAAGGTTTGCAGCAAGACTAATCCTAGAGCTAAGGGGATTGTCCTACGAAGAAAGGTTAAAGGAAATCAGCCTGACGACACTGGAGGATAGGAGGGTCAGGGAAGACATGATGACGACATATAAAATGCTGCACGGAACAGACAAGGTGGACAAAGATGGGATGTTCCAGAGATGGGACACAGAAACAAGAGGTCACAATTGGAGGGTGAAGACTCAGATGAATCAAAGGGATGTTAGAGTAGTTAGGCAGTGGAATAGCCAGTGGAAAGCCAGCAACAAACAACAAAATACCTTTCATCCGTGGACTGGAGTTTACCTGGAAAGAGTTCCGGGGGTCAACGCCCCCGCGGCCCGGTCTGTGACCAGGCCTCCTGGTGGATCAGAGCCTGATCAACCAGGCTGTTGCTGCTGGCTGCATGCAAACCAACGTACGAGCCACAGCCCGGCTGGTCAGGAACCGACTTTAGGTGCTTGTCCAGTGCCAGCTTGAAGACTGCTTGCAGAGGCAAAGGCAATGTTCGCGGCTTTCACTGAGACCCACATAAAGGATCACTTGGACAACGAAATATGGATCCCAGGTTACAACCTATTCAGATGTGACAGAGTGAACAGGCAAAAGGGAAGGGTTGGCCTGAACATTGCAGAGTCACTTGTTTGCACAGAACTGCTTAATGCCTCAAATGATGTAGTGGAAGTTTTAGCAGTAAAGGTCGAGAACCAAAACCTAGTCATTGTGGTAGTCTACAAGCCTCCGGATGCAACATCCCAGCAATTCCAGGAACAGCTGTTAAAAATTGACCACTGTCTGGAAAATCTTCCAGCTCCTGCACCCAGCATCTTGTTCCTGGGGGATTTCAACTTAAGGCACCTAAAATGGAGGAATATAGCAAATAATATTGTTGCAGTAATAACACCAGAAGGCAGCTCTGATGAAAACTCACACTCACACGAGCTTTTAAATCTCTGCACAAAATTCAATTTAAACCAGCAAATAATAGAGCCTACTAGACTGGTGAATGCACTAGACCTCATCTTCACTAACAATGATGATCTGATAAGCAATGTCACCATATCAAAAACAATATACTCAGATCACAACATAATTGAGGTTCAGACATGTATGCGTGGAGCCCCAGACCGACATAATGAGACTAGTCACGAGGGAGCATTCACCAAATTCAACTTCAATAACAAAAACATAAAGTGGGACCAAGTAAACCAAGTCCTAACCGATATAAGCTGGGAAGATATACTAAGCAACACAGACCCCAACTTATGCCTAGAACAGATTAACTTGGTGGCACTCGATGTATGCACAAGGCTTATTCCTCTAAGAAAAAGGAGGAGTAGATGTAAAATAGAAAGAGACAGGCGCTCCCTTTACAGGCGACGGAAAAGAATAACAGAGCAGCTAAAAGAGGTCAATATATCTGAAATGCGTAGGGAGACACTGTCAGAGAATAGCAAGCATCGAACTTAAGCTAAAGGAATCTTATAGGAGTCAGGAATCGCGGAAGAACTTAAAGCCATAAATGAAATCGAAAGAAACCCGAAGTATTTCTTCTCCTATGCCAAATCAAAGTCGAGAACAACGTCCAGTATTGGGCCCCTACTTAAACAAGATGGGTCCTACACAGATGACAGCAAGGAAATGAGTGAGCTACTCAAGTCCCAATATGACTCAGTTTTTAGCAAGCCGCTAACCAGACTGAGAGTCGAAGATCAAAATGAATTTTTTATGAGAGAGCCACAAAATTTGATTAACACAAGCCTATCCGATGTTATTCTGACGCCAAATGACTTCGAACAGGCGATAAATGACATGCCCATGCACTCCGATGTTATTCTGACGCCAAATGACTTCGAACAGGCGATAAATGACATGCCCATGCACTCTGCCCCAGGGCCAAACTCATGGAACTCCGTGTTCATCAAGAACTGCAAGAAGCCCCTGTCACGAGCCTTTTCCATCCTATGGAGAGGGAGCATGGACACGGGGGTCGTCCCACAGTTACTAAAAACAACAGACATAGCCCCACTCCACAAAGGGGGCAGTAAAGCAACAGCAAAGAACTACAGACCAATAGCACTAACATCCCATATCATAAAAATCTTTGAAAGGGTCCTAAGAAGCAAGATCACCACCCATCTAGAAACACATCAGTTACACAACCCAGGGCAACATGGATTTAGAACAGGTCGCTCCTGTCTGACTCTACTGGATCACTACGACAAGGTCCTAAATGCACTAGAAGACAAAAAGAATGCAGATGTAATATATACAGACTTTGCAAAAGCCTTCGACAAGTGTGACCATGGCATAATAGCGCACAAAATGCGTGCTAAAGGAATAACAGGAAAAGTCGGTCGATGGATCTATAATTTCCTCACTAACAGAACACAGAGAGTAGTCGTCAACAGAGTAAAGTCCGAGGCAGCTACGGTGAAAAGCTCTGTTCCACAAGGCACAGTACTCGCTCCCATCTTGTTCCTCATCCTCATATCCGGCATAGACAAGGATGTCAGCCACAGCACCGAGTCTTCCTTTGCAGATGACACCCGAATCTGCATGACAGTGTCTTCCATTGCAGACACTGCAAGGCTCCAGGCGGACATCAACCAAATCTTTCAGTGGGCTGCAGAAAACAATATGAAGTTCAACGATGAGAAATTTCAATTACTCAGATATGGTAAACACGAGGAAATTAAATCTTCATCAGAGCACAAAACAAATTCTGGCCACAAATAGAGCGAAACACCAACGTCAAAGACCTGGGAGTGATCATGTCGGAGGATCTCACCTTCAAGACCATAACATTGTATCAATCGCATCTGCTAGAAAATGACGGGTGGATAATGAAACCTTCAAGGGGTACGTTGGGGGCCAAACTCAACTACCAAGGAAAAAGTCTTGGGGTAGTATAACACCGGCACATCTCCTAAGCGCACATCAACCAAATAACTGCTGCAGCATGTGGGCGCCTAGCAAACCTCAGAACAGCATTCCGACATCTTAATAAGAATCGCTCATGACCCTGTACGCTGTGTACGTTAGGCCCATATTTGAGTATGCGGCACCATTTGGAACCCACACCTAGCCAGCACGTAAAGAAACTACAGAAAGTGCAAAGGTTTTCACAAGACTAGTCCCCGAGCTAAGGGTATGTCCTACGAGGAGAGGTTAAAGGAACTCGACCTGACGGCACTGGAGGACAAGCGAGATAGGGGGGACATGATAACGACATACAAAATACTGAGAGGAATTGACAATGTGGACAGAGAATGTTCCAGAGATGGGACACAGCCACAAGGGGTCACAGTTGGAAGTTGAAGACTCAGATGAATCGCAGGGATGTTTGGAAGTATTTCTTCAATCACAGGGTCAGTGGAAAGTGGAATAGTTTGGGAAGCGATGTAGTGGAGGCAGGATCCATTCATGGCTTTAAGAAGAGGTATGATAAAGCTCATAGTGCAGGGAGAGTGACCCAGTAGCGACCAGTGAAGAGGCAGGACCAGGAGCTATGAATCGACCCCTGCAACCACAACTAGGTGAGTACACACACACACACACACACACACACACACACACAGGAGCTAAGACTCGACCCCTGCAACCACAAATAGGTGAGTACACACACACACACACACACACACACACACACACACACACACACACACACACACTATTCCAGGAAGTGGAATAGTTTGGGAAGCGATGTAGTGGAGGTAGGATCCATACATAGCTTTAAGCAGAGGTATGATAAAGCTCACGGTTCAAGGAGAGTGACCCAGTAGCGACCAGTGAAGAAGCGAGGCCAGGAGCTGTGAATCGACCCCTGCAACCACAACTAGATGAGTACAACTAGGTGAGTACACACACACACACGTGGTAATGCTTTATTTACAGTGAGCAAAGTCAGGGTATTTTTCCAGAATGGTCTGTAATATACCATTGCGGATAAAATACTTTGACATATCTTGAACATTTCTAAGTGAGTTGTCTCTGAATTCATTCGTTACCAAGCGAACCATGAGTCACCTGATTTTTGCGCTAAACCCTTCACAAGATGAGCATCGGGTGCACAATAAACTAACGGCTTAGGCGGAACAACCAAAAATGGTTAGGAGATCAATTGTCCATCATAATGAAGAGAGTTTTAAACATATTTATGGAGAATGTGACCAGGTGAGTAGATAGTACGATGTGCTGTTGCTAGACTAAGTATAGGCTATTGAGTATCTCTGGTATGTAGTTTGTACAGAGATGCCGATGATATACAATGCAAAGTGTGTGGACAGAGACAGGGCCATGCACTGGAGGATTATATTTTAAGAGTGTCTAAAGCATCCAACTTTGCAGAGAAACCTTCATGCAAATCTTACAGTATATGCAACACTCCCTTGTTAATGATAAGCTCTCTGAAATCTTGAGACAACCCACATTTTGCGTCTACTAGATAAATGACCAATGTTTAATAGTAATAAGATACTTTGATTTCATGAGACTGTCTCCATATTGTATTGTGTTTATTAGCTATATGAATAAAATACTGTACAGTTTATGAAATAACTATCATATTGTTTTTCATGTTGTATTTAGGCCCAGTGTAAGCTGTCAGTCACCCTTGTAAACCCAACAACAACAAGAAGAAGCTCAAACCTCGGGTATATTATTTACTTCTCTCTAAGTTATTTTGGCTTTGTATTAAAATCTTTATTAGTTAATAATTTAAATCAGTACATACGTTACATTTTTAAAGAAAATGATGAATGTTAGGAGGAAAGTGATTTATTGCAGTTTTGTAATATAATGTTCTTAGAAGTCACCATTGTAATATGTATACAAGCAGTTGTTATATATCTGAACCCATCAGAAGATGTTCTTTGATTATTGTGAAGGAGATACTTCATTCAAGGAATTATTTCTGTTATTTTATACATTGGCCCTCTGAGGGCCTCACACTGCCTGTGTACCTTGAGTTTACCTGGAGAGGGTTTCGGGGGTCAACGCCCCCGCGGCTCGGTCTGAGACCAGGACGTGTGGTGGATCAGGGTCTGATCAACCAGGCTGCTACTACTGACCACATGCAAGCTGACGTACGAACCACAGCCCGGCTGGTCAGGTACTGACTTTAGGTGCCTGTCCAGTGCCTGCTTGAAGACAGCCAGGGGTCTATTGGTAATCCCCCTTATGTATGCTGGGAGGCAGTTAAACAGTCTTGGGCCCCTGGCACTTACTGTGTCATCTCTCAGTGTACCTGTGGCACCCCTTCTTTTCATATGGGGAATGTTGCATCTCCTGCCGAGTCTTTTGCTTTCATAGGGAGTGATTGTCGTGTGCAAGTTTGGTACTAACCGCTCTAGGATTTTCCAAGTGTATATTATTATGCATCTTTCTTGCCTGCATTCCAGGGAATACAAATCAAGGGACTTCAACTGTTCCCAGTGATTTAGGTGCCTTATCGTACTTATGTGTGCCATGAAAGTTCTGTGTACACTCTCCAGGTCTGCAGTGTCGCCAGCCTTGAAGGGTGCCATTAGTGTACAGCAGCATTCCAGCCTAGAGAGCACTAGCGATTTGAAGAGAATCATCATGGGCTTGGCGTCCCTTGGCTGGAAGGTTCTCATTATCCATCCTATGATTTTCCTAGCAGATGTGGTAGATACATTGTTTTGATCTTTGAAGGCAAGATCCTCTGACAGTATCAATCCCCAGGTTTCTTCACATTACTGTTTTGCTCTGCTGTATGGATAGAATTTGTTGTATACCTTGATATAGTTTAATTTCCTCAAGTTTTCCATATCTGAGCAGTTGACATTTCTCTTCATTGAGTTGCCCATTTGAAGATTTGGTTCATATCCTCTTGGAGTCTCACGGTGTCTACGATGGAGGTGACTGTCATGGCAATTTGGGTGTCATCCGCAAAGGAAGACACAGAGCTATGGCCTACATCTATGTCTATGCCAGATATGAGGATGAGGAATACGATGGGAGCAAGTACTGTGCCTTGTGGAACACAGCTTTTCACTGTAGCTGCCTCAGACTTTACTCTGTTTACTATTTCTCTTTGTGTTCTTTTGGCAGGAAGTTGTAGATTCGTTTACCAACTTTTCCTGTTCTGGTGGTTCAGTCTCCGGCACGGGTGGAGATATTTTGCATGTTTCCTTACACTTGTTGTCTCTATTCATCTAGCAGTAAGTAGGTACCTGGGTGTTAGTCAACTGGTGTGGGTTGCATCTTGGGGGACAAGATTGAAGGACCCCAATATGTATTATTCAGACCTCAATAAGACCAACACCAATCAAGTTGAAGAACAGCTTCCAAGTTAAATTAGTTTTGACAGTCAGTGGCATTGCAGCTAACATTTCTAAAATTTTTGACAGAAAACTAGCTAAAATATCCACAAACTCTTCAACTACTCTGGAGGCCTGGTCACAGACCGGGCCGCGGGGGCGTTGACCCTTGGAACTCTCTCCAGGTAAACTCCAGATAAACTATCCAGTCATTCCTGGAGTGGAACCACAGTCGATGGCCTCCACTCCAAACCAACAGATACAGATACTAATGCTGGAAAAAAATCTCCCCCCCCCAGTACCAACAATACCACCAGTCCGATGACATTCTTTGCAAATATACAGGGTCTAAAGCCAGCAACAAACAACAAAACACCTTTCATCCATGGACTGCTTGCAGAGGCAAAGGCAATGTTCGCGGCTTTCACTGAGACCCCACATAATGAGATTAGTCACGAGGGAGCATTCACCAAATTCAACTTCAATAACAAAAACATAAAGTGGGACCAAGTAAACCAAGTCCTAACCGATATAAGCTGGGAAGATATACTAAGCAACACAGACCCCAACTTATGCCTAGAACAGATTAACTCAGTGGCACTCAATGTATGCACAAGGCTTATTCCTCTAAGAAAAAGGAGGAGATGTAAAATAGAAAGAGACAGGCGCTCCCTTTACAGGCGATGGAAAAGAATAACAGAGCGGCTAAAAGAGGTCAATATATCTGAAATGTGTAGGGAGACACTGGTCAGAGAAATAGCAAGCATCGAACTTAAGCTAAAGGAATCTTATAGGAGTCAGGAATTGTGGGAAGAACTAAAAGCCATAAATGAAATCGAAAGAAACCCAAAGTATTTCTTCTCCTATGCCAAATCAAAGTCGAGAACAACGTCCAGTATTGGGTCCCTACTTAAACAAGATGGGTCCAACACAGATGACAGCAAGGAAATGAGTGAGCTACTCAAGTCCCAATATGACTCAGTTTTTAGCAAGCCGCTAACCAGACTGAGAGTCGAAGATCAAAATTAATTTTTTATGAGAGAGCCACAGAATTTGGTTAACACAAGCCTATCTGATGTTATCCTGACGCCAAATGACTTCGAACAGGCGATAAATGACATGCCCATGCACTCTGCCCCAGGACCAGACTCGTGGAACTCCGTGTTCATCAAGAACTGCAAGAAGCCCCTATCACTAGCTTTTACCATCCTATGGAGAGGGAGCACGGACACGGTGGTCGTCCCACAGTTACTAAAAACAACAGACAGCCCCACTCCACAAAGGGGGCAGTAAAGCAATAGCAAAGAACTACAGACCGATAGCACTAACATCCCATATCATAAAAATCTTTGAAAGGGTCCTAAGAAGCAAGGTCACCACCCATCTAGAAACCCATAAATTACACAACCCAGGTCAACATGGGTTTAGAACAGGTCGCTCCTGTCTGTCTCAACTATTGAATCACTACGACAAGGTCCTAGATGCACTAGAAGACAAAAAGAATGCAGATGTAATATATACAGACTTTGCAAAAGCCTTCGACAAGTGTGACCATGGCGTAATAGCCCACAAAATGCGTGCTAAAGGAATAACAGGAAAAGTCGGTCGATGGATCTATAATTTCCTCACTAACCGAACACGGAGTAGTAGTAGTCAACAGAGTAAAGCTATGGTGAAAAGCTCTGTTCCACAAGGCACAGTACTCACTCCCATCTTGTTCCTCATCCTCATATCTGACATAGACAAGGATGTCAGCCACAGCACTGTGTCTTCCTTTGCAGATGACACCTGAATCTCCATGACAGTGTCTTCCATTGCAGACACTGCAAGGCTCCAGGCAGACATCAACCAAATCTTTCAGTGGGCTGCAGAAAACAATATGAAGTTCAATGATGAGAAATTTCAATTACTCAGATATGGTAAACACGAGGAAATTAAATCCTCATCGGAGTACAAAACAAATTCTGGCCACAAAATAGAGCGAAACACCAACATCAAAGACCTGGGAGTGATCATGTCAGAGGATCTCACCTTCAAGGACCATAACATTGTATCAATCGCATCTGCTAGAAAAATGACAGGATGGATAATGAGAACCTTCAAAACTAGGGAGGCCAAGCCCATGATGACTCCCTTCAGGTCACTTGTTTTATCTAGGCTGGAATATTGCTGCACACTAACAGCACCTTTCAAGGCAGGTGAAATTGCTGACCTAGAAAATGTACAGAGAACCTTCACGGCGCACATAACAGAGATAAAACACCTAAATTGCTGGGAGCGCTTGAGGTTCCTGAACCTTTATTCCCTGGAACGCAGGAGGGAGAGATACATGATTATATACACCTGGAAAATCCTAGACGGACTAGTACCGAACTTGCACACGAAAATCACTCACTACGAAAGCAAAAGACTTGGCAGATGATGCAACATCCCCTCCAATGAAAAGCAGGGGTGTCACTAGCATGTTAAGAGACCATACAATAAGTGTCAGGGGCCCGAGACTGTTCAACTGCCTCCCAGCATACATAAGGGGGATTACCAACAGACCCCTGGTAGTCTTCAAGCTGGCACTGGACAAGCACCTAAAGTCTGTTCCTGACCAGCCGGGCTGTGGCTCGTACGTTGGTTTGCGTGCAGCCAGCAGTAACAGCCTGGTTGATCAGGCTCTGATCCACCAGGAGGCCTGGTCACAGACCGGGCCGCGGGGGCGTTGACCCCCGGAACTCTCTCCAGGTAAACTATTAGAAACCTACTGCAAAAACCCAAGAATAACTAGTATGAACGAGCACTGGAGTATACACTATACCATGTGGGGCATGTGACAAAGCATATGTGGGGGAAACAGCCAGATCTCTGGATATTTGGATCAGGAAACACAAAAACACTTGCAGCAATGATGACCGTAAAAACGTGTCTCTTCAACATATGGAAGATGTTGGACACCTTATGAAATTCAGTGAGGCTAGATTAATCATTAAGACATTAATCATTAAGACAGCTGTAGAAGCTGCCCTAATTTCTGTCGGTAACACTATCTATCAAAAGTTCGGAAGTTACACTACTTCCAAATTGCTAATCGACAGGATATTACCAGTTCTGGAGACCGCTTTAACATTATGTTAATAGGTTCTTCTCAAACCCAACCTCACTCACCACAATTACTACCACTACCCATGCGACATTCCACCTAACTCTTGCCACTATATACTCATTTTCTTAGTTGTCTCTGTATTAGGACTGATGAAGCCATTTGTGGTGAAACATTTCCTTTAATACGGTGGCCCATGGCCTGCTGCCAAAAGCTCTCGCTTCACACAGTGAGGATCCAGGTTCGATTCCCAGCGAGGGTTGAAACATTGGGCATGTTTCCTTACACCGGTTGACTATGTTCAACCATTAGTAAAATGGGTACCTGGGTGTTAGTTGACTGGTGTGGGCCGCATCCTGGGACAAAACTGACCTAATTTGCCCAAAATGCTCTGCATAACAAGCGACTTTCTATATAATAGTACATACTGTATGTCATTGATGTCAGCTAAGCCTGTATACCTTGTACATGTGCATGTACTTGTAGAAATAGATATTATTATTATTGTCAATAATAATAATATTTTTATAATGGAGACAAATGGTTTTTAGGACTTGATGTGCTGTTGGAGTGTAAGCAAGGTAACATTTATGAAGGGATTCAGGAAAACTGGCAGGCTGGACTTGATTCCTGGAGATGGGAAGTACGTACAGTGCTGACACTCTGAAGGAGGGGTATTAATGTTGCAGTTTTATAACTGTAGTGTAAACACTCCTCTGGCAAGACAGTGATGGAGTGAATGATGATGGAGGTTTTTCTTTTTTGGGCCACCCTGCCTTGGTGGGAAACAGCTGATGTGTAATAAAAAAATAAATTGTCCTGAACTGTACATGTGCCTTTTTTCACACCATGCCAGATACGTTTTGTCCTTTACATGATGAATATGGCCCACAGACCTCACCCCTCAAAAATTTATGCTTCTGCTCAATTAATGAGTCAAGCCAAGCAATCCTGAGAGCAACAGGCCTGATGGTCATTCTTCACACTCAGGAGTCCTCTACCTGTCCCTGTGATGAATTTGCTGAAGATACAAGTTCCTTCAATTTCTTTATCACAACCTGACATTACTAATTTATTGGGGGTTTTCATTGATGCTGGCTATTTTAACTTGGTGTGATTATATTTATTTGTCTTCAGCATTTGTTGCTTTTATTGTGTTGAGTTTGTCCTTTTTTATCATGTTGTGTATACATTTTTATGCCTCTGAAAATTGACCACAGAAGGGGTGATAGCATCCCACAGGCAACACTTTTAGGGTTAAAAATAAGACTGCATTCTTATATGTATAACTACATTTTATTTTCTTAATTTATGTTATTTATAATCACCATTTTTTCAAGTTTTATAATGACTCATTAATAGTTTTAATTTTAATCTTTCCCAAATACTACATAATTACGTATATACAATATTGTTAGTAATTTAACTTTTAAATTTCTAACAGTTATATAGAATAGTGTTAGTAATTTAAATGTTAATAATTCTTAATATTATATATTTTGTGAAAACCTTCTATTAGTTTTAATACTGCCCAAAACACTGTATAGGCCATGAGCTTTTCATTCAGTATCATGACCTATTTGTAACCCTGACCTAATAACTAGAATAAATAATGATTGAAACAGTGCTGTTTTTATACTTTAAGTTTTCTCAGCCAAACTAAGTTTAATTTTCAGCTTCATTTGGTGTGATCCTCACATTAACCTAAAACATTTCCATATTAGTACCACTTTTTGTCAATTTGAATTTTAAGATAAATTTGACATACCCCAATTGTTTACTTTAATATGCAAAACCATGTCCACATGTAACTCATTCACAAACCATTGTCATATCTTTTCTCTTACAGACAGATGAACTTAAATTACTGTTCTGTAAAGTATTTGTAATGCAGTAGCAGTAGTACGTCTCTCTAGAAAATATATAATGTTTTAAATTATGGCCTGATAGTTCTTCACAAACAGAATGCTTAAAGCTCACTCTATAGTAGTACGACATATATGCATAAGAACTTTATATTTTAACATTATTTATTACCTATAATCTTGATACCATAAATATAATATGGAATTAACCTATTTTTTATAGTATCCATTAGCTTCAGACTTCATACTGAGGGCCACATAATTAATGTAAACTATTGTATAATTATTTCTCAGATCAAAACTGAGCTTTGTTTCTGTTTGCTTATAACAGATATGTAATATATCTTCCAGTTACAATGCACACACTATATATCACCATTGGAGATTAAATATGAGTAGTGTGAGGGTGGACGTACAGTGGTCGCCAGTTGCGGCTGACCAGTTCCTCACATGGGGGTCTGACCTGCAGCTATACCAAGTTCAAGACATTGTCCCAAGTGAAACTGTGCAGTTGCCCCGTAAGTTACGACAGTTTTGTTTAAAATGAAATAACACATTTTAGTTTAAGAAATCAATGAATGAGAAAAAATAATATAGATTAACTCAGTGATTTCCCAGGCCCAAAACATTTTATTGTAATTTTCTTAAGAATGTTAGTATTAATGTAATAAGAGATATTGTTGTATATATGGCCACCTGCTCTATTAATTATCAAGAGGCTGGGTAGGTGCTCAGCATGAAAGACATATTTTTGTAAATATTGCACTGATTGGGTTCATATTGACATTCAAGCTGCCAAGTGTTAAGCCCACATTTCTGTAAATAGCACTATTCAGGGTATAGTGGTGTCAGTTCTTGTACTGTATGGGTGTGAAGTATGGTCTTCAGATATTGCAGTGAGGAGACTGGAAGTAGTGGGTATGTCATGTTGGATATTAATATGTAGAGTGACTTATTTATTTATTTATTTATTTATTTATTTATTTATTTAGTAATTTGAGCATACATACAGAGGTACAAAAAAATACAGGTAAGAGCAGCATGCCAAAGCCACTTATATGCATAGCATTACGGGCTGGCTTAAAATTGACTTAAGATTAACTAAGCAATGATGAAATCAGTGATAAAACATTATTGTAAACAGATAACTATAAAGTACAAATGAGTATTACAAAGACAGGTCATATGGTTGCATGCCTTGCTGTACATTCAGTCGAATGGAGTATTCTGTTAGGTAGTGTATTTAAAAAATAATAAAGTTAGATTGGGTTTTAGGTTTAACATTTATGTGATATAATTGTGAGAAACATTTAAGATATACAATTTATAAGGTTCAGTTATTCAGTATTTATTTGGTTTTGGGTGAGTAAGTGATCTTTGAGAAGAGACTTGAATTTATAAACAGGTAGTGTTTCTTTTATATTTACAGGTAATGAATTCCAGATTTTAGGGCCTTTTATGTGCATTGAGTTTTTGCATAGCGTGAAATGGACACGAGGAACATCAAAGAGTGATCTGTGCCTTGTGTTATGGTCATGTGTTCTGTTGATTTTTGGCAAGGAGGGGGGTTTGAAGGGGGGGTTTAAAAAATCAGATTTAAATTTTCTATGTATGAATAGGTCCCAAAAAAAAGAAAGGGAAATGTTTTGAAGGTGAGTGGGTTTGAGGGGTTTTTAAAATTTTGGGTGGAGGGGGCTCCCTGTGTGAGAATTTTTACATTCAAACCTTCCCCCTTTTTTTTGGGTAATTATTTGGTTTTAAAAGGTTAAAAATTTTGTTGTTGAGGGCCCCATGCACAAATTCCATGGGGTGAGATGGGGGTAAATAAGAAGTGATATGGGGCCAGGGGGGCCCTGACTGTGGAGCATAGTACCGATTTTCGATAGTTGCCCCAGCTTGGAAATTTTTTTTAAAAAATTTTTTTGATATGTTAAAAATTTTTGAGTCAAATTACCCAAGGGGTTTCCCCTTAAGAATTTTCCCTTGTTAGTTTTGTGATGGGAATATACTTATACAGGAATTAGAAGATAAATTTTATGGTATGAAATCAAAAATTTCAGATTGGAGGAGAAATTTCTGAAGGGTTTTTTTCTTTTAAAAAAAAAAAAAAGGAAGAAAGGGTAAGGGGAAATAAAGGTTTAAATTAAATTTAACCAGCCCAAAAAACCCCATGTGTGAATTTTTTGGGAGTAGGGGGAGATAATGGTTTTTGAGATCCCAATTACTTGTCATTGCATTATAACACGTAACATTCATAAAGGGGATTCGGGCTTTCCAAATTTATCAAACTTGAGTATTTAAATGGTAGAAGTGCATGCATTTTAAAAGGGAACGGGGAAAATTTTTTGGGGTTCGGGTATTTTTTTAAATTGTTATTTCCTTTCACTTCAGACAATACAACTGAAATAGTGGGAAAAAATTTTTTTCCCCTTTCGGGGTTAAACCCTTCCCAGGAGGGGGGGGGGGGGAAAGAAATAGGGGTGGTTTCAAATTTTTAAAAAAATCGATTGCTTTCCTATTAAAATCCAAATATACTTTCAGATAAATATTAATCCCATAAAAAGTAAAATGAAAATAATGTAAATTATTTTTTTTTTAAACTAGGATTACAGTTGGGCCCCAAAAAACTGCTGCTCACTTTTATCAACAAATAATGATCTGCATATATCAAGGTGTGCTTGGTGCCCTGGATTTTAAATTTACCCAACCCAATCAATTTTTAGCATGGGCGGCCCAATGGGAAAGTGACTCAAAACCCTTTCCCAGCAAGTTCCAAATCCCCATGGAAAAAAAGGGGAGAGAATTTTTTTAAGAAAATTTAATCCAGTCTTTAATACTTTTTTGGGGGAAAAAAAGGAAAAAATCAAATTTTCCAACACCCTTTGGTTACAAAGACGGGGGTACAATTCTAGGTGAAGGAATGAGCCCCCCCATTAAATTGTACTGAAAAACCCAAAAAGGTTTAATGTTTCTTAAAAAATACAGGGGAAGATATGCTTTAAAGTTTCCACAAAGGATACATTGGTATGGTAAGCATTCTCGACGCGGTGTAAAGGTTTACAAAATTTGAAATAAAAAAAAAAGGGAAAATGGGGCCCCAAAAATAAAATGGGGAAAGAAATTAAAAGCTACAAAAAATTGTTTTTTTTCAAGAAAACCCGTATGGGGAACAAAACCCTTTTCAATTTTTCACAAAGAAAATTGGGGGGAAATGGCTGTTTTACGTAGTTAAAAATAAGAAAAGCTGTTTATTTTAAATTTTCCATTTTAACAAATTTTTACCCCCCATTTTCACTTTATTTTTCCCCCTTTTTAGTCTCTGCTTTTTTAAAACCCCCATGTTCACCCCAAGTGTTACTAGAAATTTAAACTGTATAAAGAAAGAAATTTTTAAAATGTCTTTTTCTTTTTTTTTCCTACCTTTCATTGTTTATAAAATTTTTTTTTTTTCACTTACATAAAAATTCTAAAATTACTCATGTTAAACGGGCAGCTAGTTTTTAAAAAAATCGATAACTTCTTGAACCCCTTCTGTATACAAAGTTTAGTTGAACTCCTTTCAGCAGATTTAAACCCCACATAATTTTAAATAAATATTTTGGGGCTTAAACCCCAAGTTGTGAAATTATCCATCAGGGTTTAAAAATTTTCCTCACATATATTTTTTTTACCTCTAGTTCCCAACCCTCCGCCCTGTCAAACTCTCGGGAAAGGGATACTCAAAAAAACCTCAGCTGCCTTTTCTCTGCTTAGATAAAATTTCGAAACTGATCACCTTTAAATTTTTGGGATGTCACCCCCGCACAATAAACCCCACCTTAAAACATTTAAACAAAGAAACCTATTTTCGGGGTTAGTATAATATTACGGGGAAAATTTTTTATACATTTTTTAAAACCCATACTGTCCCCCAGTTTTGGTTTTCCTAAAATTTAAAATTTATACAGTTTTGAAACAGAATGGATGAACATTTAGGTGTGCATGCAAAAAACCCCCCTTGGTATGCATAGCATTTTCGGCAAAATTAAACCCTTTGCCCTTAAAATTAAATTTAAGGCAAATTAATTGATTCCCAAATATATAGGGTCCCCCTCGGGCGGTAGCAACAAAAAATTTGGGTTTTCCCTTTTATCGTTTTTAAATTTGTTTTTTGGGGGATTACGGGTTTGGGCCTTATGATTATAGGAATGAGGATTCTAGTTTTTTAAACATTTTAAACACCTTCAAAAATTTTTTAAATTTGGTTATGGATTAAGAAAATTTAAATTGAAATTTTTTTCCCCCATAGGATTGGGCATTGAAAAATATCAAATTTAGCGTTTTTGGGGATATTTAGTGAAAAAAGGGTGTGTTTTAAAATCGAAGTTTTGGGAAGATGCGGCAGGGAAAATTGGCTATAAATTCCCTAAAGGGATTAAAAGTTTTGGGGCCCCTTTTGCACATTGATTTTTAAACAAAGATTAACGGGGAAAAGGGGGTATGTAAACAGAATTTTTATGTCAAGAAATTATATCTAGGGGTTTTCTGTTTCAGCTTCAAGGAAGTGTTTTCGGGTCTTTTTTAAAATATTAAAATTTTATTGTTTGAAAGTGTGGGATGCTCATTTATAAAGTAATGTTTTGTATAAAAAGTTGGGGAGTAAACTTTCTTTGAAAAAAAAGATTAATTTAATTCTTTTTTTTTTAGTATACTCCCTGAAAAGATAGGGGTTTCAGTCTCTTTGTCAACGGGCCTTTTCCCCTTTTGTCTCTCTTTTAAATTTCTTTTTAAGTCACCCCAAAGCAAGCGATTTGAAAACTAGACCTAGATTTTAAAAAGCCCGTTTTTTAAGACTGGCCCCAAAAAACCCGTCTTGTAAAACCCCTGTCTCCTGAATATTGGAAAATCGTTCCAAAATTTTTTCAGGGATATTTGTTTTTTTAATGGATGTTTTTTGGGTTGGGATAGCAGTTTTTAATTGCTTAAGTAAAAAAGGTAAGCTTTTGCTTGGTTTTTCCAATTTTAAAATTAAGTTATTTCCCTTTCGGGACTTTTGGGAACAACCACTATCTATGCCCCTAAAACAGCATAATTAACAATTTTTGAAGTTCTTTTTGTTTGAAAGTGATAAAACAGAATTTTCATGAAAAATAAAAACATTCAAAAGGGGAAAAAAAATTTAAATTCTAATCTTTTAAGGGATGGAGGGGATTAAATCAGTGTCATTGTGAGAAATCCATTTAAAAGGGAAATTTTTTGACCCTTGAAACAACCCAAAAACCCAATTATGTTTAACTGAATATTGAAGGAAAATTGGGGAATATTCAGTAGGGGCTACAAAAAAATTTAAGAAAAAATTTTGGGAAAATTAAGTATTTAAAGATAAAGTATCTACAAACAAAAAGGAGCAGGAAATTCATTAATGGTCCGTCAAAAAGGTTTTTGTCAAAAAGCATGAAAAGCCCTGCACAAGTTAAAAAACCCAGGGGAACAATGTACGGGTGCTGGATGTGCAAAGCTCTGGCATTTAAAAAAATAA